ATATATATATCAAGTTGTCCCGTCCATGGATATCAAGATTGACTGCCATGACTTTTTGTCTTGTATTAGAGTAGACCAGGAAGAAATCGCTGAAGCCATAAAAAAAACCTAAAACCAAAGTTATCTTCAGGTGCCGACTCTATCCCATCCTTTATCATCAAAGGGTGTGGTGAATTGTTCATACCCATCTCAGGGCACATTTTTAACCTTTCTCTTAGTTCTAGAGTTTTTCCATCGTTACGAAAATCTGCGGTTGTTGTATTAACTTTTTAAAGTGGTAATCGATCTATTTCTAATAACTATCGGCCCATATCTTTATTGTCGGGGTTTTCCAAAGTGTTTGAGCGCGTTATACACAAACGAATTTTTTTTTTTTATTTCCACCGGAAATTTGATGTTTGCCAGTATGGTTTTCTGACTGGACGGTCGTTTGAAGCTAACCTGTACTCATTTTTTAACTATTCTGTCGCTGTTGTTATGAACAAAGGGCAAATTGATTGTATTTATTTTGATATGCCAAAGGCATTTGATAAAGCGAACCACGAGTTGTTATTACGTAAATTGTTTTTATATGGTTGTTGCGCACAGGTGTGTAAATGGTTCCAAAGCAACCTATCATGTCGTCCCAACAGCGTTCGCATAGATAACAGTCGCTCAAAAACTTTATTTTCCAATTCCGGTGTTCCCCGAGGGTCTATTCTTGCTCCCCTTTTGTTTCTCATTTTTGTAAACAATCTATCGTCCAATATGCAAAATGCTGAGGTGTTGCTGTTTGCATATGACATTAAGATGTTTATGAATGTTCGTATTCTCGCTGACTGCGATACTTTACAGCATGACGTGTCGCGAATAGTTCAGTGGTGCAAATTGAATGACTTGTCACTGAACCCTCTGTAAACAAGGGTATTAACTTTGTGCAAACGTTATAAAGTAATACAAAATAGTTATCTATTAGAAGGGATTCCTGTTTAGAAGGGATTCCAACGTGTATCTTCTGTAACAGACCTTGGCGTGTGTACAGATAGTGCATTGACGTTTATTCCACACGTGTCACCTATTGTTGGCAGAGCCACTAAGATGTTGGGACTGATATCTCGCATCACGCAGCAGTTTAAAAACCCAGCCTCTATTATTCGTTTATTTTGCTCCCTAGTAAGATCACAGCTTGCGTTTGCGTCTGTAGCATGGAACTCGATATCTGGAACGCAGTCAGCAAAAATTGAAACTGTGCAAAAGCGTTTCGTACGTATTGTTTATGACCGCTATTTTGAACGTCGCTTTTATTTTGATTATTACTTTCTCGTTGATAAGATTTTTCGGAGTTCATTGTCCGAAAGAAGAGCCGAGCGTGACTTAATTTTTCTACATAAGGTAGTAAATGGGATGAAAGATAGCGATTTGCTTTTATCCAGAATTAACATTCATGTCCCTTCCCGGTTTACTGGGAACCATACTGCTTTTTACGTCAATACCATGTGTAGATCCTCGCAGTTTGTCACGTATACAATAGTTATATAATCGCCTTAATGATACAAATATTGATATATTCAGTGATATATCTGTTTATCGCAAGAAATTGGAAGCGCTTCCAACACACCTTTGACCTGTGCTTTAGTTTGCTTTTATTGTGTTACTTTGTTTCTGTTTGATTTTATCATTGGCTTGTGCGCCGAAGTGAAGAGCTCCGGCTGTTTTTGGGTACATAAAAATAAAGATTATTATTATTTTTAGTAGTAATATTATTATTATTATTATTATAGGCGGCGGTGTGTGCAGTCCGTTGTCGTCCAGCCAAAATAAAACACCTTGTGGGGAAAAATTCGGAGAGTGACGAGGAAAGACCTGCATTTAGCGTAATTATGGAGGAACAATCTAAAACGTGTTGGGAAACAATCGGAAAACGGAAGAAATCATCATTAGAAACTATCGACAATAACCTATTCAAAAGTATATCGATTGTTTACTATTAAAAAAAAACTACGAAAAAAGTATATAAACGTGATAGGTTGCCGAAGTTTCTTTGCTGTTTTAGATTTATTTCCGGTGTGTACCCTTTGCTTTTTATAGAAAGAACTCAGAAAGAAAAATATAAATTCCTGTCGCCACTAAAAAGTGAACTACGCGTTGCATAAATCGGGAACCCTGCTTGAATATGTTGCTAGCCATGGTGATCGAATGTTCAATTATGGGGACATGGCTTTACTTAAATAAAAAAAATAATTGTGGCATTTTGTTTTCCTTTTGAACCAAAGTAATTGCGAGAAAGGAAAAAAACAAGGTTGCTTTTGAAATTCGTAAGCTTTTTCCATTGAAATATTGTCTCATTGCCAACAATACGTTTACTTGGTAAGGATAGATAACTGGGCAAGTTGGTAGAAGTTCATGTTGAAAAACAGCGCGACTGGGACGAGGACAAAAGACGAAGAGAATACAAGGCAAGCGCTGACTACAAAGTGGTCTGTTAATAGAACATAAGGAAGAAATACAATGAAATGAAAAACATGGATCAAATGTTCGCGCGCTTGCTGGGCGCCTCGTGGAGTATGCCCCCTTTTTTTTCATATGATTGTAGCACTTGTTTTCTTCTTTCTTTCCTCAGGAGCTCTTATCCTAAATCCAGAAAGTTCACTTCGCTGGGAGTTAGAGTCACAGAAGGTTGGCTCACACACGAACTGTTGTTTTTCGTGATGTTGTACGCTTCAACCATCTCTCAACATGTTTGGTCATGGTGTTGATAGAGTATAATGGTGTCTTCTAAGCGTGGTTCGCACCCGAAATCTCGGCAGTGTACCGCTAGATGTGAATACGCGGTGCCTTTCAAGAAGCCGTGGTGCTCTCTGAGACGGGTGTTTAAGCCCCGGCCAGTCTGCCCAATACAAGAGCGCCCACATGAGAAGGGAATGCACTAAACCGCGCCTTTTACGCACGACACAATATTTTTCTCATGCTTTACCTCACATATGTAATATTCTGATTTTGTTTCCGTCATTGCGTACGCGTGCAGCGGAACATAATCTACTTAGTTTGTTTTTGGCTGAGAGGACAACATTCACCTCATATCTGGACGCGACTTTTTTTAAGTCCGTGTGAAGTGCGGTGAAGATAAGGAATAACCGAAATTTTCGTGTTTTTTTTTTTCTTTTCTAGCTGGTTTTTTCATATTGAAATTGGAACTAATCTTTACGATTTTTATTAAACTTTTGCATGCTGATGAAATGATAGAGTCTGGGAATCCTGATTCCCTAATCCTTCGAATCTGGGAAGTGAAGCTAACGCCAATTGTGCGAACAGATGATATTGTTAAAGCGGATTTTAAACAGGAATATACTATGCATCTTTTTACGAGTTTCGAATATGCTGACTGGTAATTCAGCAGACTCTTTGATTCTTTAAAACTCTTCGAAAATTTAAAAATCACACCATTAAGATCTTTAGGGGGTATGGATCGATTTTTGGTCTTTGTTGAAGACTCCGATTTCGAAAAAACACTAGATTACGTACTAAAAGTATTCCGTGAGCTTGGTCAAGGCCTTATGTTCACTTATGAGACTCCAAAAGAGAGTAAAATTCAGTTTTTAGATCTCCTTGTTGAATTTAAAAAAGAACACATTTGCTGGTTGTATCATGCTAGAACTTCAATAAATATGATAAAAGATGGTATTCGGAAAAATTAGGTGCATTTCCGCGTTAATAACGAAAAGACAAGTAAGGGTGAGAATATAATTTTTACATATTCGTAGACTTTTTAAAGACGCGCATTTTGATATATTTTGTGAAGTATTATAAAAGATGGTTTAGTTGCGAAAAAAAATTGTGAATAGGTCTTTAAAACCCGTTTTTATGCCATGTTTGATCTTTTTTTGTGTGCATAGAAAATTATATTGATATTTCTAAATTTTTGTTTAAGTGTTGTATATACTTTGTAAAATGAATTAAAAAGTTATGATGACGTGAAAGCTTCGATGAGGAAATGACGACTGTGCAAAAATAGCATCGCGAAATCTCAATTTTCACGTCTCAAGCTTCTCTATTTTATATCTTAGCGGGAAAAAATGTTACGGCGTTTATATATAGCTGAATGTTCCTCCCGAGAGCATGGCTTTCATATATATTTTTAACAGAAAGATCTGAATTATGACCCGGACCATTATTGCATCAACTGACGTGGATCACCCTGTATTTCGAAGTTTTATTTTATAGCAACAGGTAAATCTTTTTTCAGCAACCGTTATCATAATCTGCCAAAATAACACCAAACAAAAAGTGGCAACTCATCCCAGCATACAAGTCTAATTGCTTTTGTCAACGATTTTCGAGAATTCGCTATGAATGATCATCAGCAAAAGGCAAAGAAGGCAAATTGCAGAGTAACTCTCCCCGCAGTTGTGTTACTACGTGAAACGTTCTTGGTTTAGAGACCCTCAGGCATTTCTTCTCGAGCTCTGCCTCCAGGCCTCTCCACTACTTTCCACCCCATTGATTCATTGACGCATTGACTTTCCTCGTCGGGATAGCCCGTGTCCACAGAGTATGGGGAATGGCGGGTAGTTGGTAAACTGAATTTATGTCTAGATCAATAGTTCTATTGTCTTTTTATTGCACTCCAGTGAATTCACTCCAGGCGTGCAGGCGACAAGGAAAGACAGGGAGCCCATGCACACTGTGTGCCCTAGCTACCCACTGGGAGGCATTTGGTAAATTCAATATAATAAATACCTCGAGCAAGAGAGAAAAAGGAGGGGGGGAGGGGGCGCTGATCTGGAAAGCGTGTCACAGCAACATCCGCCAGACAAGAACGCCCTAGCACCGACAGCCACCCACCACCGAATATCGGTCGGCGCCAGCATAGACCGGACGCGAGTACCGCGTCTCCTCGCCGGCTGGACACGAGGCCCAGCTTAACAACGAGACAGCACTCGCATCCGATCCGCTGCCCGCGCCGACACCCAGCGACGAAAAAACTAACAGCACTAAGGCGCCCCCAGCCAGCAGGAGTCGGGTCACAGGTGCCAGCCATCCTCCCTGGATATCAACTCGCAGAGTTCTTTTAAGAAGTCCCTGTTGTTAGGGATCACTGGGGTCAGCTCAGAGGGTAGCGCAAACCAGAGCTCAGCGGCTCGTAGGAGGCATGTTCTCCTGTGGCGAAGAGTGCGCGTCAGCACCGGTTGCAGAGGGCCAGTACGCCTGTTGAGACTCGGTGTGTTGGGGCAGTTCATGCCGTCCGCACTCATAACACGACAGAACAGCCCGATGGAGGCGACGTCTCTACGATGCCGTAGCGTCCGCCAATCAGCGTTGCGGAGGAGGGAGTCGGTGCTAACGTCCCGATAACTGAGGAGGCTGCTTCTGAGGGTACTGCGGCGGTAGAGCGTAAATGCAGCTCTTCTTTGAATGCTTGCTAAGGCATTTTGGCGTGACTGCTGGTGTGGCCCCCAGATGGCGCAGCAAAACTCCAGCTGGCGTAAGATGAGGGCAATGTGGAGATATCTGAATGCCTCTGGTGAAAGGTCGCGTGAGAGGTGGGTTACGAAGCCCAGTGTTCGCCAGGCTTTGGACGATACTTCGCATGCAGATGTGGCGGTGGAAGTCCACTTTGTCATCAAGGGTGACGCCGAGCATTTTGGTGTGAGATACACGAGGTGTAGGTAACGTGACGTCAAATTTTTCCGCTAAAGCTGACAGGGAAACAGAATTTTGTATCGGTGCATGATACGAAGTCATGTGACATCGGTTTCCCGCTAACTCTAGCAAGGAAATTGAATTGGCGTATACGTAACGTGACCATATCACGTGACCGTAACCGCGTAACCGCAAATTTTACATCCAAATTTAGCAGGGAAACTGATTTTGTGTACAGGTCACTTGATATGAATCCATACGACGTCAGTATCACCGCTAACTTTAGCGGGGAAATTCGCTGTTACGCTTCTTAAGGCTTCACGTCACCTAAAAGCCTAACCTATAAACGTTTCACGTTAAACACAATGTATGATCCCCAGCAGAGTGTTTCATTTCAGCGGTCAGTGGTAAAGGATATGAAAAATAATAGGTGACAATTGAATAATAAAGGAGACAAGCGTAAAAAAAAACATTGTGAAAACCCTGACGCAAAATGTCTTCAGCGAGGTTTTTTCCGTAGCTCAAAGGCAAAAAAAATGTACTGAATATACTTTGTATAGTCTTACACATGCGGCATATGGTAATCTCAAGCCTGATATCTGAACCTCATGAATATACAAGATATATCCGCTGGAAAGCTAGCAAAACGCCATTTCTGTTTAATTTGTAAATTCATTGTATGAGAATGAAGATTTATTTTTTGTTTCACTTCTATTTCATCTATTTCCCAGAACCTCGCGTAGTCTGCCGAACACATCCGCGGTCATTTTCTTTTTGGATAGTGCTTTCATTTCCGTATCACTCGATAGTTTTTTGAAAGCTGTCATTTGATAGTGTCGATAGTAGACCAAAGGTCAACTATCGATAGTACTATATATTGCACTATTGATAGTACATTCGATTGTCGACTATCGACAGCCGTCTACCGATAATCAAGAATCGATTGGACTATCAATAGTACTATCGATAGTACTATCGATAGTCCACTATTCATAGTTTTGAAAAAAAAACTATTAGTAGTATTCGTAGTCAATTTTTCGATAGTTTGGCATCACTGCTGCTCAATAACATTGGCGGTGGAGTGATCAAAACAAGGTTCTCGGAACTCGCTTCACCCTGCGTTTCTCACCGACTGGTGTGTTGATCGCCCTATCCAGCCCATACATCAAAGGTGGTCCCTAAGTGGCACCAACTGACGTCACGAACCCCGGAGTGTTATGCTGGGGGTGTCGCTATCCTGGTGGTTGGCCGTATAGAAGCTTCGGCAAAAAGCACGAGCGAACGTGAGTGTCGCTGTTGTTGCAGCGTCCCACCCCCCGGCTGCTGAGACTTCCTGGCCTGTAAAGCTGGAGAGCGACGTGCAGCGGAACAGGCGTCTGCCACATCCACCACCGCTGCCGTGATCGCCGCTAGGATCGCGGCCGGAGACAGTGTGACACTTATATGACGTCACAAGGCTGAAATCGAGGGACAACTTTTTCGGACGCGGAGAACACACCAGTCGGAGACACGTTCCTGGCACCGTACTATAATCCAGTGCTTGACCAAACGTTCGGTTCCAGTGTTTGGCCAAACGTTGGGTTAAACGTTTGGTTTGCGAACCAAACGTCGGGTTGAACAAACGTTGGGTTGAACGCCGGTTCCACTCTTCCTTGCCCAGGGACTCGCCGAGGAATCCCGGCGCCCCGATGCACCCGGGGTGGTCGGTGCGCCGGCAATGCTGCTGCTGGTTCCAGGGCCGGGGCGGACCGGCACCAGCGGCCAAACCGGCGCCTCCGGCCCTCCCGGTCCTGTTCCTGGCCCTGCTGGTGCTACTGCCGGGCTTCGGCGCCGGCCAGTGGATGCCTCGGGCCTTCTCCTGCCCGCCTCGGGCCCATGTTTCCCCGTGCCTCTGCCTGGAGAGGTCCAAGGGGCTTGACGTGACTTGCGAAAGAGTGGACAGGACGGATCGCGTGCGCACCGCCCTGTCGGGTCTCGCGGACGCCCAGCAAACCGTGCTCTACCTCAGGCTCAGGCACGACAGGTGACCGGTCGGCCTCTGCTGCCCTATTTGCGTGCCACGCGTATCTATGATTCCATTGCAGCAACAGACAACTGACGTTTGGCGAGCGACTATACAAGAGGGTGATGGTAGTGACTCAAGGACCCTTGCACCAAAAGTTTCTTTTTTTTTTTTTTGCCAGCTATAGTGACGTTTAATTGTGAGAAATTTGGTTCAGAAACTAAATCCGGTATGTCTGCTAGAAGTGTTTGCTTTTTTTTGTTTGTTTCCCTGATGTGAAAAGCTCCAGCATAAGCCGGCCGGGGGGGGGGGGGGGGGGGGGGAGGGGAGGGTCTGGTGTGCGCAACCGTTCGACGGAAATACTGCTCAGTTTGCATGAATCGCAGTGCGCTGGTGTAGAATTGCATAGCAAAAATAATTTCGTTCGTTGTGTAAGCTACCCTCGCACTTGGAAACGCAGATCTCATATGGAAGAAGCGATAACTCACGTCAGGAAAGAACGACTTATACATTAACGAAAAGACAGAGAGTGTGCAGGTAAGCGGGTAATAGTTAATTACATTTTGTAGCACCCGACACTGTGGGAGAAAAAATAAGAAACTATGTTTTTCTTCGACCTTAAACTATCTTTTTATTTTCATATATGACTCGGGTGTTACTTAATAAGATTAACTCGTACATTTAAGGTCCGTGTCGTCACATTCGCTAACGCTCATCGCGAGAATTGCGACATCGCGATCCTCGCGATGTCGCTTAAGCTGTGACATATTTATTCACCCTAGATTTGGCTTACTTCTACATCACTGCTCGCTTTGTGAAAACATGCTGGATATAATGTAGGTAAATAAAATGGGCCTACATACGCTTTCACAGCGAAGCATGACAGAGACGAGAGCTGAATACTTTCATGGAGTGACTGGTTCGCTGAAGCGAACATTAACAAAGCTTGTAAATATCGAAATTTGCTAGCCCTTATACAGCGATAAAAATAAACAGCCGATGCCGAGAAACCCGAATAAAAGGAAAGACATTTGTCGTTGAGAGACAACCAATATTTGCATGAGTTTACAGTGCGGCGTAAAGGGCGCAGTATGGAGACATGCTGACACTTGAACATATTCGTAGCGGGACTGTTGTAAGCAACAAACTACGAAGGCAAACGAGTAAAGACAATACGGTAACTCCTATAAACACAACAAACATATTGGGATCGTGCGTTTTTATACGCACGAATGCAATTAAAATAAACGCTTTTTTAGAGCGCAGCTCTTCGACTTTGTTCCCGCATATAGCGGCATCGGCGTCACCGCTATATGCGGAAACGGGCGCCTACGAGTCTCATAATGCAACACTGCGCGCCTTGCAGTATGGGACTTCACAAACCTATGCGGAGGGCAAGTTCGTCTGCTTCTTGCGCAGGGGATAGCGGTTACGTCAGAACGCCGAGCCCTGATTGGCTGATCGCGACCCCCTATCCAACGTTATTAGATTACCTCAGTTACGGAACTGCTCATAGACGCCGCCATATACGAACAGTACCCCCCCCCCCCCCCCTCACTCATCACGACTCGCCCAGCGCCGCTCGACGCGCCGCCAGACGGCTGCTTTGGTAACTGAATCAGGATACGTTCGTTTCAACGTGACTAGAAACGTAAAAACCAACAGAAAAAAACTCTTTTTGTAGTAACTTTTGTTCGAGTTTAGTACAAAATGGAAGGCGAGTGATGTTTTCTCAAATCTTTAGTTTGCTAGGTTTTGCGGCACAATAATATATTTTTCATACACCCATGCCTCAGCGGTGATTTCAGGTAGCGCGTCCCAACCTAGGGTCATCTTAACTTCGGGGTAAATTCGCGGCGCGTCCGCTGGGGAAACGGGGGTGGCATCCCTGTAACCCTTTCCACTGTATCTGTTTTGGCTCCGAAATGGCCGATTGAAGCCGAAATAGATGATAGGTGCAGTTCCTCGAGTGACCGCTGCAGGGCAAATGGCGGCGTTGTGATCGCCATTTGGCGCTTCAGCTGGGCTCTTTGGAACGCATAGTTATGAAACGAAAATATAGATGGCGCTTTGAACGACGCTTGGCGGATTGAAGTGAGTGAGGGGGGGTACCCCCCTCCGCGGGAGTTCCACAACTGAGGTAATCTAATAACGTTGCCCCTATCTGAGCGTCGTCTGCTCCTTCGCAACATCGTCTGCTCGCACGTCGTCTGCGTCTGTCTTACCTTTCCTGCGACTTTCGGAAGTGCAGAGGCCAGATTCACGAAACAACCTTACGCCAAAAATGTGCGTAAGACAAAACTTAAGAACAAATTTGTATTCAAGAAACGAAATTTTCGTAAGTTTTGCGCAGGTTACGATGAAATCTTACGACAGCTATGAAGCTGTCTTACGCACGTCTTACGATCAAATCAGCATGGCCGACGGCGTCGCGGTCGCGACGACCCACGGTCGTTTACTTTTCTACGTGCGCTTCTCACGCGTCCCGACTTCAAGCAGCAAGAAAAAAGTAAAAAGTACTTGAAACAGACCACGACGAGCAAGAACGCTGGATCCACAAATACCCGGGAAAAGCTCCGACGGCCACGATTCCACCGAACGCGACCAAGCGAGATCGGCAGTTAGGCAGGCACTCCGCGACTCGGCGACCGTCTGCCCACGCCCGGCTGGCGTGCTGAATGGAATATGCCCGTGCGACCCTTGTGAACCCTTTCGTATTATACTTTGATCGCTGACCTTGTTTCCCGAGGCAACGGTGACTCTCGCCGGTGAAAAAGCGGTGAATCTCCGACAGACGCCGGAAAGGTAAAGCAGCCATCGCTTTGACTAGCAGACGTAAAGCAGAAGACGGTAACTGCGCCAACCCGCCGACGCCGTTAAAGAGTGAGGGGTCTCGCCGCACACAAAAGGAGGGAAAACGTATTTGGGAGGGAACTTACGGGCACTAACACGTTCACTCTCGGTTCTTAGTAAACAAAC